ATTTAATTTAATTACATTACCATTAAAATATATAAAAACTCTTTTTAATAACGAGAAAATACCGCTATACATTTTTGAATTATTTTTGCAATTATCTCCGGAGAGTGAACGTTGAGTGCAATGTACTGTTCGGTGAATTGTCGGTTCGCAAAATGTTTATTACTTCAAATGGAGATCATTTTTCGGCAGACAATGCCATTATAGAAAGTTTCATATAAAAAGTGCAAGTGTGAGTTGCTTGAGAGCAAGTCCAAAATGGATAGAAGCTGATGAACTGTTAATATGACAATGATATTTCTATGAAAAAATTAAGGAAACAATAAGTTTCATCAATTTCAAATAGAGCTTGCACAATCAGTTTGCTTAGTATCCAAATGTTGATTTCACAGCAAAAAATATAACTGCACCAGTAATAAATGCATTAATATTTTTAAGTCAGCTCCCCTCGAACTCAAATATACCTTACTTGTTTCTTTCAATCATATTTTATACATTTTTCTTTTGTGCGAACATTTAAGGAATTTAGAATTATGAGTATGCGTATTTACTTGCTTCTTTCGTACGTGAGTTGTCGCCGCAATTGCCATTTGTGCTTTGAAGCGAAGTTGATATGAAGAACATTGCAGCAAAGCATTATTCACATGCGACATATATGCCACATTCTGCTTTTCTCCGCTGTAAACATTCTAAGAATTTCCTCATGCTCAATGCTTTCCTATTGGATTTTTTATTGAAAAACATTGCAAGTTCGTTGCTTAAGTCTTTAGTCTTATATGGATTATGATTGTTTGCAAGGCTTTCTTTGTTATTAGTTGAAATATTCGCTTTTTATAACAATCATAATAACCGCGAGATGACATAAACTATTTTTGTTTAACGGATTTTCTCCTCCAGTTTGTGGTGTTTAGTTAGATGTTTTCTAAGGAAATAAGGGTCCTTCTAGTATTAAGTGTTTTCTGTTGGTCTATTAAATTTGAGTAAGAAGCTTTTTAATTACCCAAAAGAGAACTACCGAGTTTATTCTACAAAAAAAAAAAAAAAATTAGAGTTTCGAACTCAAGGACGGTCGTTAAGTTGTAGTGATTTCAACACTTTACGAGTTTTCAAATTTTCCAGAAGTAAAGCTTTAAGTAAATAACTTCAGCTATCTGGCAATCGGAGATGGCACTACCAAATTCAATAAGATACTGAGACTGTAGTCACTAATTTTGGCATTACGTACATTATGTGCTATAGCACAGAACCGATATTTAAAGACCTAAAAAGTCGCTAAAAGTCGCTAATTCCAATTAACATATTCTACAATAATTTTAACGGACTTGGATCAATATCACTGAAGCGTCTATCAAGCCACTAGGTTTAAAAAATTTTGGTTCTAAAAGTATGCAAAACGATACCTACTGATGTTAGCAGAGGTTAGGCCCCATTATTAGTAACTGAACAGCAAAGCTGGTTTAAACTAAAAGGCTAGAGAGTTTTCTGGTCAATCACACTGCGAAATTTCTAATGAACGCTTTAGCTTTCTACTACTTAAGAGAAAGTCTAGTACTCCATAAAAGTTTACCTTTGACTTTTAAAAGTCTCATTCTTCATGAATGACTCACAGCTCAAAAATAGAAGAAAAAAACAAGTAAAAACGTTGCACCGAAGGTATAATACCCTTCACAAATACAAAAGATTGCTTATAACAACTGGATTGGGATCGTTCAGTTTGTATGGCAGCTATATGCTATAATGATCCGATTTGAACAATTTCTTCGGAGATTGTACCATTGTCTTAGACAATAATCCATGCCAAAATTCTTGAAGATATCTCGTGATGAAATGAAAATTTGTCCATACAAGCGCTTTATTCCGATCGTTCAGCTCGTTGTATGGCGGTTTGATAACGGCGCTTTCGACAAATAAGCAGATTCTTGGAAAGAGATATCTCAAAAAACTGAGGCACTAGTGCTCGTATATACAGACAGACGGACAGACATGACTAAATCGACTCAGCTCGTCACGCTGATCATTTAGATATATATTTTATAGGCACATTGATGCTACCTTCTGGGTGTTACAAAATTCGTTACCCTGTTCAGTCTATAAAAATAGGGAAAGGCTTTACCTAAGAATTTCTATTGTCGTCTTGTTGAATATAGCAAAAGCTTTTAAAGATTACGATTGAGAAGCATCAGAAGGTTTATTTTCTCAGAATATAGATATAACATAGATATTTCTGTGTACTAGCGTTGGGCCTTGGGCAACTCGTAGTCATTGCATGAAATCTGGGATTTGAACGCAAGACGGTTTTATAAGCTGTAATGTAAAAAAACTGTTAGTGCTGTAATTCACAAACAATTTCTAGCTGTTGTGGATTCAATGGTGTCATATATTGATTATAAAAAAATTTTAGAGTACATTAAGAAAATGTCTCAATGATTCTTAAGCAAGCAAGGAAGATAAATGAATTCCAACTACTTTGTGATTCATTTTATTTGACCTCTGCGTCCCGCAATTCTTTCAGTGTCAACCACACCTAACTGACTACTGAGTACCAAGTGAAAGCTTTCGAATATTTTTTGTAAGCTCAAAGCAATAAAAATGAGCGAAACAAAAAGACGAAACAACAACAACAAATGCACAGAGGTGATGTCAACACAACATCTTTGATTACAACAATGGCATGCTGCGGTTTCATAATTCCGTTCATATACTGATGAAATGGGTGTGTTGTGTTGCCGCCGGTTGATGATGAGGTGATACATTAGACAGACAACGAGTGAAACGAGGCAACGGCGGCCAACCAATGCAGAGGAGCCGAAAAGCTGAAGAATTGCGTGCGTGCGTCTTCATTTCATATGCAAGGGACGCAACAATTCATGCGCATTAAACACTAAATGGAGCGGAGGCGAGTAGGTGAGGCTGTGCATGTGCATGTGTACATTTGTGTGTGTGTGTGTGATGCTGCACCTTGGGCATGCGCGAGTTCAATGACAATGCTACCATTATTTACGCGGCGAAAATTTACATTTGCCTAGTGCAGACCACGCATAGCGAGAGGAACGTAAATGGGGCAAATAATTAGTGCGGGAACCCTACGCCGACGGATGGACTGATAAAGGCGTGAATGAGTTATGATTGATATACAAATTTTTGGAATTTCAATGTGAATTTGAATGGCGTAAGCTTTGCAACGTAAGAGCTCGCATAAATTTAATTTAGCAATTTGTAAGTGTTATGAATTCATGCGAATTAATGCATTTATGCATATTGTACTCAAAAATTTGCATTTATGTGTTCATTATAAGTCTAATAATCACAAAAATAACAATGCGATACGATAATTGCTCGCTCTATCATTCGAAGACCGATTACATGCGATTACGTCTATCGATGATTGGCTAAGCGGCGAAATGGCAAGACCGGCAGGCGGTCAAGCCATGAGGCAATTATGTAGAGCTTGCGTATGCCTGCGCTATAATTAATCAACAGCAACAACACACGAAAGAAAGAAGGCAGCACTAAATTCGATCTGCACCGAGGCAACGAAGTGGCTTTCCTGAAGCTCTAATTTAACTGAAACTTTGGCAGTGATTGACCTTTTTACCTTCTTTCAAAGGCTTTAATTTATCCACGAAAGGGATTTCAATGCCAGTTTATCGCTACAAATACACTAATGGATTTTCCTAAACGGCCTTGGAAGCTTTGAAGCTTTTGTGGTAAACTTTTTTTTATAGAAGAATTATGAAGAACAGAAACTCAATGAAAGCTTTGAAGATTTTTGTGGTAATCTTTTTTATAGCAGAAGTTCAAAAAACAGAAATTCAATGTAAGCTTTGAAGATTTTTATTATAATAGATATTCAATTGAAAGCTTTAAAGCCTTTGTGTAAAGATATTTTATGGCAGAAAACTAATAAAAGTTGTTTGCTTTTGTGGTAAGCTTTTTTTGTAATAAACTTTCATGAAAGCTTTGAAATGTTTGTGAAAAGCTTTGTTATGGCGGAAGTCCAATGGCCTTGTCATTTTTGTGGTAAACTATCTTTATGACAGAAGTTCAACGAAAGGATTGAAGTATATGTGAAAAGCTGTTATATGACATAAGTTCAACGGAAGCTTTAAAGCTTTCGAGAAAAGTTCTTTTATAACAGAATTCCAGTGAAAGTATCGAAGATTTTGTAAAAAAACTGTTTGGTAGAAGCTGTCTTGAAGCCGTGAGTGATAACCATTTGAAGGAATTCTAATCTATTATCCACGGCCACGGATTAAATTAAGTCAACTCCTCAATATGAACGTTTTATCATAAATCGCTACCTTTTGTATGACAGAGCAATAGTATTTTTAGAATTGAAGCCAACTTTTGTCACTTTCACTTGGACTTTTTAAACTAGGGACAGAAAAAAGCACTTCAAAAGATAACGGTAACGGTAAATATTTCTCATATGCTTTCGTTCGTATACTTTTGTCATCGAACCAATACGGTCGCTGTCAAATAAAGGTAATTTTTAAAGCTCTTAAGTCATAACTGTCAAAAAAGTCTTGAGAGCTAAGACGCAAGGAGGCTTCTAAACCGCCTCCCTTAATTTTATTAAAATATACCGTTATGTAAACCAAATCAAAATACCCTGGTAAAACCAATGGCCACCTAGATTACGCACTCAGGCATATAACAATGTGTGATTTCAAATGCTTTTCATTTCACTACATTTCATTTCGCTTAAGCGCCATACTATTATTATGTTTATTGTTGTATTATTATTTAAATCGCACCCTGTGTGTTTCCTACAAATAACAAAGCATGAAAAAAGCGCCTTTATGAAATTAGATTATCAAAGCCATATGAAATGTGAATTATGCGCGCATTATAAATGCTCATATGTATATATAAGCATATTGCAATGTATATATATGTATGTGTTGGATTATATTTATATGAATGTGAGTGTGTGATTTAGTAATGGTAACTGTATAAAATACATTAGTAAATTGAGTTTATGTTGGAAAAGTACAAATTACCTTTCACTTTCGTTGTGCGTTACGCTTGCTGCAATATGTCGTTGTAATGCGCAACGTTGTTGTTCTTGTTATTGTTGTCGTTGTTGCTTTAGTTGTAATTGTCGTTAATATAGATTGTTGTTGTTATAAAAAGACACGAAGTTAAGAAATTAATGCGTTGAATGCTCACAATTCCCACAAACTCTTGAGCAAGAGGATGCTATACTTCCACACACGTGTGTATATGTGTATGCATGTGTCACATACACATGTGTGAGTTTTGCTTGTTGTTTTTATAAATAGCGTCACCTTGCGCTGTCAGCAGCAAAAATGTCGTTATTGCTTTTATTGTTGATAATTACAATTTTGTTGCAATTAATTTTTTTATTGGTTCGTATCGTTGTTGTTGTGATTGTCGTTGTTTAATTTTATAGTCTTTGTTTATAATTTTTTAATTGCACATTTATTCACCACGATCGTATTACTCTTCAAGCTCTTGTCTAATCACATTTTTTTTTATATATTTATAGACATATACATACACATATGTAAATAGTTAAATATATAAAAGTTTATGCATATTTATCACTCGGCACTGCAATCTTTATTTTTTTTACTATTCACACGATTTTATTGCCACAGAATTTTGTTATCTCATTATCATTTACTCGCTAATATCTCAAACGCTTACAATGTTTTTGCACACTTTTTTTCCAATTTTACGGAAGTCTCGTAAGATTTTGCAATTGCGTGTGCATTTATGTATTCCTTAAAAAAATAATAATTAATTACATAATTAAATATATTTAGTTCTGAGTCATTAAAACAACAATGGTACTTAATGCCATTCTATGCGCTCTCCAACAGAAAAGCGTCAATTTCGTTTCCATTGTCCAGCTTTTGCATGACTGAGGTTGAAACATCTCGGCAGTCACACCTTCGGTGAACCAGGAGATGTTGGCAAAACTGACATTAGCCACCTGAACACATTTGTGAGCGACTCAAAGCGCTTCGTTGATGTATGAAGATCTTTATAATCAAATTTATAGGAGTTATAAATACCATAACGTACCGGCGCTATTAGCTGTCCAAGTGAGAGCGCTGTTAGGATCGACTATTTAACCTAACCTATTCGAACCTATTATTGTAATCTTTCATATGGCTTACTTTTATATTTTGCTCTATTTTTTCTTTTAGCAATGTGGCAACACTATTCTTTCAATATCCTTTTCGTCCTTTTCCGAAGGTTCCTTGATAAGGCACAAAGTCTCCATTAGCTTGTAGACTCGTAAAAGCAATCTTATACAGACTTCAGACTTTCCTGACAATTATGGATGAGTTTTTAACAGGGAAGAGCGTAAAACTGACCACTATCTGTTAGTTTACCTAAAACTGCACATTCAGAGTGCTTGGGAAAAGAGTAGTGGAAGCAAGGAAACCCAAAGGCCTCGAATTTTGAATTTGCAAAACTGAGCGGTCTTAATAAAATACTTATCCATTAGCCTAAGCATCTGACATTTATATATATAATTAGCTCTCATTATATTGTAATTTAATTTAATTAAAATAACTGTTCTTAGAAGTGTAAAAACTGAGGTGAGAAATCAGCAGTTAGATTTAGACAATCCGATTAAGAAGAGGATATAGAGTCCATTTCGATATAATAAGTACAAATCACTTTTAATGTACTGAACTTTTCTTTTTATAAGCTTCCTAGTAGTAGACCTAGCAAGTATTGCTTTAAGTGATCTATAAAATTCGTAAACAAGTTTGACTAACAAAATAGCTCTGCGACGGAAGTTAAGGCATCACACAGCAAAGTAAGCACCACAAATAACCGACCAAGTGACTCTAAAAAGCTACATGCACAATTTTATATCTCTCTAATTATACAAGTAATATTTAGAATCCTTCAAATATTTATGACAAAGCTCAGCGAAATGGATATTGATGCACAATCACTTGAGCAAAAAATGTGTATGTATGTATACTTTTACATATGCCCGTTACCTGCATCGATCACATCAAACATCGAGTGAGCTTATTGGCGTATTGGTGAAGGCGTGGTAGACTTGTTAGAAATTATTGTAATTCTTACCTCTGCTTCTGTACATATTTATTCTATAATAACAAATCACAATCGCTTTTGCTTTTGCTTCTGCCAATGCTGTAAATACAATAATCACGTCGTGGAGACTCGCAAAATATGCGAGAATCGTAGAAATCGCTAAGCGCTTAGTCACAAGATATGAAGCAGTTGGCTATAAGGGTTTCTCATTGGGAGTGCACGTTGTGCGAGAGGTCTGCTAGGTCATGCAAGAAAGAGTATAGGGAACCCAAAGCTAGTCATGATCCGAGATAATATTCTTTCAAGTGAATTTTATGTCAAAATTGAGATCAAAAATATCAAATTTGCTCAGGAGCTCTGTGTAATTAATAGCCTCCGAAGTCTTTGAGATTTCTACCATATTTTTTGTCGTAATCTTGTTACGAGCTTTGTGAGATATATTTCGCAGAGCTGTAAACCAACGGGAATATTTTATAAGGCATCACTGCAACCTATTGAACGTTCTCCAACAACTACCGGACTCCAACAATCCACTTTCTTTTTATGAAGGACTTTCTCATATTAAAAATATATTCATGGAATTCGATATTGCCTACCGAATAGAGACTACTATTAGATTATATAATTCCAAAAATATTGAAATCTGAACTGAATCCACTCGAATAGTCGTAAAATGAAGTCAATTGATTTCGTTAAGACGTTAAATTTAGTAGCACCGAAGCTATAATACTCTTCACAAATACAAAGATTCTTTACAAGAACTGTGATCGGTCAGTTTGTATGGTAACTATATGCTATAGTCAGCTGATCTGAACAATTTCTTCAGAAATATAGTGGTTCGATATCGGCCGTTCCGACAAATGAGCAGCTTCTTGGTGAGAAAAGTGTGAGTGCAAAATTTCAGATCGATATCTCAAAAGCTGTGGGACTAGTTCGCATACATATATACAGACGGACAGACATGGCTAAATCGGCTCAACTCGTCACGCTGATCATTATACGTATATATATATATCTGATCGCCACTTCCATATTTAAACACCCTGTAATTATAAATATATACTTAAATCTGTATTCCAAGCTACACATGCACCTCCAGCAGTGAAATTTCAGCTTGCGCGTGCCCTCACATCATCATACAGATATATAAACACACACACATGTATGCATATAAACAATAATATGAACAATGGACAGCAACGTGAGTAGAAAGCAATATCAAAATACACACATACTCGTATGTGCATATGTTCATATGTATATATGTGTATGTGTGTTTATTAAAATTCATAGTGAGACGGAGTCGCCGGTCAAGGCGCTGACAATACTAACTGTGGTGACTAACTGTGAAACTGTGCCTGAGTGACGAGCTAGTCGCCTAACGGACTAACAACTAACAACTAGCTAAACGACTAAGCAGCTAACGCTGCGTCGGACCAACTGACCGAGTAGTTTTTTATTAAATGGCAATATTTTTCAACGATAAAAATCATTTCTGCCTCTTTGCTCTCCATTTAAATTTGTTTAGTGCTTTAACTCATTTATCTGAGCGCCTTTTTGTTTTTGTATTTTTTTTTTATATTTTTTGTTGTGTGAAGAACTTGTTATTGCTGCTGCTGGTATTGTTGTTTTGGCGGGTTGACACTTGCACTAGTTTAAATTGGCATTTGGATTTTTGGACGCACTTGTTCTCATGCTTTTGATTGTTCTTGTTTTTGTTGTTGTTTTATTATTGTGTTATTGCTAGTTTGTTGCATTCGTTGTTGCTTTAATTATTATTGTGAGGTCGCAAAGTCACACAGCAATTAGAGCAGTTCGAAAGGATAGAAAAGTTTCAAAGTTTCAAGGCACGGCAAAAAGGTGAATGAAGTAATAAAATAATAATGAAAAAAGTTGGAAACAATACCAATTGATATAAAATTAAGATAAAAGAAGAAAAAGTAAAAAATAAAATAAAATAAAATAAAGTACAGAATTTATTACAAAACTACACACGAAAAAGCTTAAAATTTTACTAAGAAAAAAGAAAAAACATTAAATTGAAATTAAAAGGTTAATAAAATATAACAAATAGTTAGTTATTTGGGAGATGCTAAACTCATTAATTCATTAAAAAAAATTAATTAAGTTGAAATAAAGCAAAAAATATATGTAATAAAAAAAATACTGTGAATAAAAAAAAAATATAAAAAAAAACAGGTAAGTAAGGGCTAAGTTCGGATGTAACCGTTTTGGTTCAATTTAGATAATTTTTGGTCACAAGGTGGCATACATTAAACGTATTATTCACGAAAAGTTTTACGCCGATATAATCATTGTTGCTTGATTTGCATACTTAAAAGTGAAAAAATCAGAAGGAATTTAAAATGATGTTATACAGGAAGTAAGCATGGTTGTAATCCGATTTCGCTCATTTTCGACGTATAACATAAAAATATGAGAAAACTGTCATGTACCGAATTTAGTTGAAATCGGTTATGCAGAGATATAGGTTTTCAACTAAAAGTGGGCGATGCCACGACCATTTTGAACGTGGTTCCTATAAAATCATCTCATACCATCCCAGAGATAAAATTTAATGTCTCTGGCTTGTTTAGTGCTTGATTTATCGCGCTTTTAGTAGTTTTTAACAGTGCCGTTATATGGGGAGTGGGCGGAGTTGCCACCCGATTTTAACTATTTTCACACCGTCAATGGAAGTGCTAAAAACATTTGCTTCTAGTGAATTTTGTTATTATAGCATTAGCGGTTTAGGAGATATGCACATTAAACCTATTAGAGGACCACGCCCACTTTAAAAAAAAAATTTTAACTGCAGATGCCCCTCCCTAATGTGATCCTGTGTACCAAATAACTGTATTGTATCTTATTGCGGAGCTTAGTTATGGCAATTTATTTGTGTTTGATTAATGGCGTTTTGTAGGCGTGGCAGTGGTCCGATTACGCCCATCTGCAATACCAACCGTCTTACGATACCAAGAAACATGTCTACCAAGTTTCATAAAGATATCTCAATTTTTACTCAAGTTACAGCTTGCACAGACGGACAGACAGTCACCCGGATTTCAACTCGTCTCATCATCCTGATCATTTATATATATATAACCCTATATCTAACTCAATTAGTTTTAGGTGATACAAACAACCGTTAGGTGAACAAAACTATTACACTCTGTAGCAAGAGGTTGCGAGAGTATAATAAAACATAAACAAACAATATTTTATAAAAATAAATACTTCAAAAAAAATATAAATTAATTAAATAAAGAAAAAAAATGTCTACTAAAACACAAAAAAAAAATTCAATAAAGCTAGTTAAATAAAAAATTATATATTATTTAAATATATGTATATAAAAATTTATTATAATTAATATAAAAACAAATTAAAGTTTTTTTAAATTTATAACCAAAATGAATTCCTTACAGCAAATAATAACAAAAATATTTAAGCGAAGGAAAAAATTAAAATTAGTTTTTCTTTAAATATAATGAAAGTGAATTTATTACCAAAAACTATAGAAGTAATGAAAATAAAACAAATAAATTTAATTGATTTTAATTTAAAGCCCCAATATTTAAGTTTTTAAATTATTTACTATTTTTACATATTTACTTCGTAATGATTATTTCAAGAGCCTTAAAAAACTAAAGGAAAAACTTTAAAATCTATAAAGAAAAAAGTTTAATATTAATAAAAATATATATTATATATGTAGGTACATATTACATATCATATACATATAATAATAATAATAAATAATGAATTTAAAATAAGCAGTAATGAAATTTTTAAAATTATATGTACTTATTTTCAATTTTTTAAAAGTAAGTTTTTGAGAGGTGAGAAATTAGGATAATTAAATCAAACATATTTTTGTATTAAAGAATTAAATAAATTGTCGGTTCATCATCCAACAACAAAAATTGCAAATAATTACAAAATTCAATATATTAAAAAATAACCTCTTCAGTGTATAATAATTAATATGAAGGATATTAAGAATGTAAAAAATATACAGTTTTAAATTTAGGTTATTGACCAAAAATTAAATTAGAAAAAAAAATTAATATTAAATTATTTTTATGATAATTAAAAAAAATATTTCTATTTAAAATAAAAAATATACAAATTTGAATTACAATTTTTTTATTATTATTTCTAATTTTAGATATTTTTATGTGTATTTATTTTTATTTATAAAATTTAAGTTCTTTATATTATTTTTTATCTTATTTAATTATATATTATTTTCTTTTTTGTTTACATCGATTTTTCATTTATCATTTTTAATAGCAATTTTCGTTTCATGTTTTAACTCTTGCTTTGCACATACTTTTTCTAACAAAACACGCGTGTTTCCCTTTCTTTTCTCCACAATTAGAGCTTTAATTGCTTTTTAATTATTTGTCACACATTCAGTTAATACGTTTTACACGCGCATGTCATGCGTATGTGTGTATGTGTGCCACACATGCCACCCGTTTGACCAGCAGCACTAATTACTTCACGCACTTTAAACAAAACTTTAAAGAAATACAATAAAATCTGCCAAACATGCAAATATACCGCTCAGCTCCACTCCGCACTGTGTCTCGTTAGACTATTTATAGTAATTACCGCAAAGGCAACAGTTAATTTATGCCAATATCGTAAATATTCGAGTGGTTTGTCTCGTTGTGCTAACAAGAATTTATCATCAGCGCATCTTGAACTGTTTGCGTTGCCGTCACTCGCAAGCGCTAGAATCTTCACACTACTACTACATACACACACGTATATATGTATGTATGTGTGTTTGCCGGCGCTCTAGTCGCACCGTTAAGCGAAAAGTGAAAACGAACTAAAGACTTAAGACACGAACCCGCGCGTTCGACTACTGTCTGACCGCTATTTTGTCTGCTTACTCGCTCATTGGTTCGTTCGTTCGCTCGCACGCTAGTTAATTGCTTGCCCAAACGCTAACCGCAACTATTCATTTATACGTATGTTCACCAAGCCGACTGCTTTGCAACTGATTGCGTTCGCATGCGCAGACGCCTTTGCGACTGTCAAGTTGGATCGCTGATCGTTGGCTTCGCCTTTGCGGCTTTGTGGTTTCGGGCGTTTCATCGTCGCTGGCCTTTCGGCGGCAATGCATTTGACTGATTTCAAAGTGAGTGCGGTTTATGAGAGCGCCATAGCTGTCGACATTGGCGTAGCGCTCTGCTTCCGTCACTCAATAACCCTTTTGGGAACAGTGGTTTATTTTGAGAATTTGGTAGAAAATTTGACATAAATTTTAAATATTGTCAATTTGTTAAACGAAATTGATTCATAGCAGCCTTACTAAGTCAGGTCTCAAACTGGGAAAAAGATTTCGATGTCACTTGGACTGGTATTTTATTCTTTGTATTACCCAAAAACTCCTTCAAGTGCATCAACTCATAGATCGACGAAAAGTTTTGAGCTCATCACAAATATGTTAAGGCGCTCAATATCAATACCAGTCACTTTGCTAGACTCTCCAAAGGTGTGTCTATGGAGATATTTCAATTTTAGTCTGGCAAATGTCGGGCTATAGATGAGAAAGTGATAAGTTGATTCCAACTCGCCTTCCGCCATACGAATACAGCTTTGGCAAAGAGCGTCCGTCAAAATATTTAGTCGTGTATGCCTATTGGATAATCGCATGAAAGCTCATCGGCCTTGCAGTTTCCATAAATGTGTACGAAAATAGGTCTCGATTAACGATCACCTCTAGACGACAGTAATATATCTCAGCGTGTTTTTCTGCCATAAAACAGCTTTACTCCTCAGAACGAGCCTGAGATATCTGAAGAAGATCATAATAATTCCATTTTAGACTCTCTCTGCAGATCTTTGGAGAAACGGCGCTGCCACAATTGCCGAATCTTTTTTCAATTTTCCCTCCATTAGTTATATTTTCCTTTCCTGCTGTTTTGTCTATCTTTTTAATTGTTTAAATCTATGAATGTAGCCCAATTTTAATATCAATAGTTGCTTGCTTTTTTCGTCTTCGCTTGCTAACTTGCGTGTGAATCTGAATTTATTTCAAGGCATAAGCAGAAGCGTTAACAAAAATGTGTGAAATGCCGTTTCTTAAAATAGTTTTAGTAAAGCTAGAGCTGTTGGTTTAACGGTATTCATGTGAAGCAAGTGAATAAGCGGCGATTTAGGGAGCGGAGGTGCGGGAGTGCGGGGTAGCAACTTTACAGTGGACAATGCGAGCATATTTATTGTTGTGTTTTTTTTTGGACAATCAAATTTTTATTTTTGTTCGTTCTTTTATTAATTAAATTTTTGTTGTTGTTTTTCTGCGGAGGATGGACTCTTGAGGTGCATTGTGGGAATGTGCCGCCCCTCGCGGAAATTTCGTTATTCTCCAGAAATATACATATGTAAATATTCACACCTCAGTATTGAAATGCAAAGCAATTATTTATGTTTTAATCTATGGTCTGCTTTACTTTATTCATTGTACACATACCTACATTCATACCTACGCTGTGAAAATTTTACCTCTAAATTCATTTATATGTATGTATGTACTTAAAATAATAATAACATTAGCGCGTAGCCGAAAAATTTGTTGATCCAGATATTTTAATTAATTGAGAATACATGTACATGAATTTAACTTAAGAAGAATAAAAAGTTGAAAAGCAAACAAAGCGCCGGAAGAGTCCCATTTAATTCGAGTCGGTTGAGATTCGAGAGCAATAACTGAGCTCCCTACATATTTGTTTATTAGATCATTGGTTCGAATCTCCTAGCGACAAATTAAGATTATAGAAACAAGAAAAAACGGCGACTGAAGCTATAATATCCCTCACAAGTGCATTTCTTATATCGTGTTTTCCAATATGGATGATATGATTTCTAAGTGTCGTTTCCGCCATTTTTAATGTCATTATATGTCATTTTTTTTGATTGTACGAAGATCCACAAATTATTCATGAACAGCTATTAGATTCGGTAGAGATCAATAATAACAAACTTTTTATGGCCGCAATTGGAAGATGTTGATCTTGGCAATGTCTGGTTTCAACAAGACGGCGCTACGTGCCACAGCATGTGCAACCAACGAATTATTGCGAGAAAAGTTTGGAGATTCGATAATTTCAAGAAATTTTGGCATTGAATGGCCTCCAAGAAGTTGTGATATAACACCATTAGACTACCTCTTGTGGGGTTCTTTAAAGTCATTGGTCTTTAGCAATAAACCAGACTCTCTTCAAGCTTTGAAATTCAATATTGAACGTGCTTTTCATGCCATACGAGTTGATTTAGTGGAAAAAGTACTAGAAAATGTGGTTCATCGTTACTGCAAAAGAAGTCGTGGAGGCTATTTAAATGATGTTATATTCGAAACTTAATTGTATTGATTTTGCTTCACACTAAATAAATAACATTTGAATTTCCTTAACAATTAATGTGTTTTTTTTTTTTTTAATCAATCACTCTAATTGGAAAACCCGTAGCATAAAAGGCTATAAAAATATCTTTATTTTGAATTTGGTCGGTCAGTTGGTATTATGTTGCTATGATGGCCCGATATTGGTGGTACTGGCCAAAAAGTTTTTCGGGGAGCAAAGGATATATGCAAAATTTTTAGCTCAATATCTCTAGGGGAACTAGTTTGCGTATATACAAACGGACAGACAGAAGGATATGGCTAAATCGACCCCAACACATAATAAATGGATTGGAAGCAAAAGCTGGAAATGTATCTGTATCATAAATTTTGAAATCTACCCGACTGAGTTGGGGTGAATGCTATATGATTACTGTCAAATGACTACCGTCAGAAGACAGTAAAATGGCTTTCCCAGTGCTAGTATCAGAAGGCACCTCCAGAAATGCTACGGACAAGATTGTGATACGCAACGTCATAAACGTAATGAGCTTTAATAATTTTCATAGAAATTGTAGACAAATCGTTCACCTTCTTTCGTTTATGACGTTATTGTAACGGTCACGAACCAATTTTTTTTTTTTGTCTAACACACTACAAATCAGAAAATATATTAACTTCGGTTACACCGAAGCTTCACAAATAATAAAGTTTCCATGCCATATAAGAACTTTATTTTGATCGTTCAATTTGTATTATATGCTATAGTGGTCCGTACAATGATAACGAGTGACGTTTCCTTCTGGGTGCTACAAATTTCGTCACAAGGTTAATATAGAGAGATGATTGCTATTGTCAGCTGGCTGTCACTTTTCCAAATTTAGATCGGATATACAAGTATCAGTGAAACATTTAAAATAAATATGCACCTTCACCTATTATTCTCTTCTTTTATCCAACCATAAAAGAGCGGCTAAATATTAAGATATCAAACTCGAATAGGGAAAGTCTGTATCTGACCAGTTATTTTTTATAAGCAAAGTCCCAGAAAAGACCTGAAGGAAGCCATTTCTTTGTCGACTTTAACAGATTTTCTACAGTGCGAAAATAAGTGGTCTCTATGCCGCTACGTTTGCGACTGAGTGAAACTCGGGAAGTTCCACATATAGCGACTCATTATCGTGCTGTTATATTGAATATATCCGAATAGATCCAAACATTTATAGAATCGACTACCGTGTCGGGACTACGGTGTCAGTAGTATTATTCAAAAATTTTTGACGTATGTTTTCTGCCGGCAAAAACAGGAGAACCAAAAGAAACTATGAAATTCGACCTCAGTGGAACCACTTAATATTATCATATGCTCGGAATGTCCGGCTAGTTATTTATGTATGTAAGGATTTCTGTAAAGCAATCATACACAACTTAGAATTTACCTTACCGTTAGTTACAATTTTTAACAAAACATTTTCCACAACACTTTTTCAACTTTGAGTTCATTTCTTTATTTCCTCATGGTTTTCAAAAACAGTTACTTAGAAATTCATTTGTATAAAAATTATGAAAATTAGAGATTTTACTGTTACAATAACGTAAAAGTAGAGTAAACAATAACAATGCCATTCAAGCAATTCCTAAACACTACTATACTTCAACATATGTGTATGTATGCATGTATATATGTAAATATATAACTATTATTGAGAAATGTATGCGCTCGCACAATTTAAATATGGTTTTTCATATGTATGTATTGTTTTTGTAAATAACAAAGTGTTTACTGATCCTATTTATTTGTCTGCTGTTGCTTTCTATTCAACTTTTCCAGGACCCGTTCGATTTCCGGATAAATATTACGCACCTTAGATAGGATGTCATGGGCACGATTAAACTGTCCACTGAGTACGGAACTAGAAATTATGTGAAAAAATAAATATTTAGTTAAAAATTAGTAAATTAAATGAGAGTGAAATCTGCGTTAATTTTTGTTTTTTTTTTGGTTTGGTTAAAAATATTTATTTGTTTTTAATTTTTTATCTTATCAACTCTTTTTAAATTAATTTTAATTAGCAATTAATATTTGTTTTATTATTTTCCAAGATTGTATAAAAAAATTAATACTTTGATAAAAAATAAGTAAATTAAAAAGGAAAGAAATCTGAAGCCATTTTAAATATTTTACTTTCTTCAATTTTAATTTTTTTTCAGTTAAATTATTTTTTTAATTTTTTATTTATTTGTTTTAAATTCATTTTTTAAGATACTATTTTTTTAAATTAATTTCTTTCGAGCTTAGCGTTTTTTTTTTTTTTAATTAAAATAGTTTTTATTTTTATTTTATTTATTATCATTTTTTAATGAATAATTATTAAAGAATTAAAAATCGATGTAATTAATTTTTTTATGATTTTAAGTTATTTTAAATTTAAAAGAATTAAAAAAAAACTATTTTAAAGTTAAATTTTTTTAAAATATTTTTTATTATTATTTTTGGCAATTTTTTCGTTTTTTTCTAAATTTAGATTTATTTAATTTGATTTTTAATGTAAAATTATTTTCAAGTTAAAATTTTTTTTAACTTTATATGTTAATATACAGCTGTGTTTATTGAAATAGCAGTGCAGCAGAAGTCAAAGTATATATGTATATAATTAAAATTTTCCATTGTTGTAGTGCATTGTAACTTAAAGTATAATAATATACTCAATCAAACTTACTACGCACACATTTACAAATGTTTTCAATACTATTTGTCGAAAAAACCAAAAACTGCTCTTTCAGTGAACAGCCAAAAATGCACGAATTTGCGCAAATCTAATGGGGTCTTTTTTGTTTTTTCTAACGAAAGGGAATCTGCAAAAAAATTGTTATATAGTTTCGCTTCTGCTGCACTGCTATTTCAATGAACACAGCTGTTTATATACATTTTTTTAATTTTTAACATTTTTGTTTGATTAAAGTGTTGAGTTAGTATAGGTTTTTTGAGCTTATTATTTTCTTTTGCTTTTTACGTTTTGTTTGAAGTTATATTTTTTTAAGTTTTTTCTTTATTTTTGGGTTACATATTTTTTATTAAATTTTTTAATATTATTTAATATATGGTGTACATACGCACATAACAGTTTCTAATAGTATATAATATTTTATTTTATTATTTCTTTTATACTTTTTTTTTGTGTTTTTTTTCAAATTTTTATGTTTTGCAACTATCACAAAATAATATTTGTTATTAGTTTTTGTACTTACATCAACGCCGACCCAGTAAGGTTGCCTGCCATAGCTAAATGTGCAATCCATTTATCGATTATGGCCACCAATAACGGATCGTCGTCTTGCAAATGAACGCGTCCGATCAGTAGCGCTTCCGTGTAGTAGTATTTCGACAAGAGCATTTCGATGGCTTCCGCATGACGATGCATCGCCATCATGTAGGTAGCTGCTTGCAGAGCATAGCCCTTTTCTAGTAGTTGCTCGGCGAAGGACTGGCACACGTTTTGCCAAAATCTTCGAAAATTCACGAAAGTCATTAATGAACTAGAGAATCGAAAACTATAAAATAATGATTGTAACAGTACTTGTATGATATGGTTGGTGCCAAGGCGACATGCCATTCGCTCAGCTGTTTTTTCGTTAGACAAAGCATTATCTCCTCTTTGAGAGTAGAAGAATTTAACTGCGTCAGAAATAAGTTGTGTATGCCCGTGGGTTTCGACCTCCTAATATGACTTACTAAAAGAATATAAAAATGTGGGAAGTTAGAATGAAAAAATTAAAATAAAATCGACTATTATCGAATTCTAATATAACTGTTGTATGAGCTTAAGCAACTGAAAATTTATTAGTAAGGTTAGGTTTGTTGAAAAATTTATAGTATGTGTCATTTCATAGTGATTTAATAAAGATGTTGAAGTAATTTCATTGAAAGTTTAAGAGAAAATTGATCAAATATAGAATTTCCAAAACATCTTTAAACTCTGACACGATCCATAAATCATTTGAGGCTTCTAAATGTGGTTGCTTTGGAAACATTTAGCAAAAATCGAATGTCGAGGTGTGTTATGATTTATAGAACTTTTTTTTTTTGTTTTTAGATAGCGATGGTATTAAAAAAAACGTAATAATTCTATAAGAATACTACTTACATTCTATTTGCAAAAGTTTTTCGGCATCCGCTTTAGTACCAAATAATTTGGGGCATAGAAAACCTTGCGGTCCTGGTTTGCTTAAAACCATATTCAATTTATCCAAAACATTTTTATTGAGCTCCTTGCTAGTCCAGCTCAATACAGTGGACGGAGTCTATAATATTTTTTTATAAAATTAAAATAAAAATGAGAAATATAAATAAAAGTATAAAAATATATTTGTGAGCATAAAAATAGTACAATTACCCTCATGAATATCGAGCCGTAACTCCAGTCCATATTATCCTCGCGGCTTTTTGCCACTTTTGTCTCCGGCTTCGCTTGACCTTCTGCCTTCTCCACCACCGCTACCGTCGTGTTTTGCTCATTCAACTTCATCGCGTTAAACAGATCGGTCACCTCAGCGCCACCCTCACCATTACCTGCAGCACCGTTCGTACACTCCCCGAGTTCGGTCTTCCCTACATTATCGATTTCAGCGCGTTTGAGACGACGCTTCTCAGCTGCCGTCAATGGTTTTGTCGTTTCGGTGCGTGTGGGTACTTTCATGGCCCATTTTACTTGGTCCAAAGTGTGCAAGTTGGAGCGCTTCCATTTCGACGCCGAATAAACCACAGACTCCTCCAAACGCATATCGAAGAGCTCCACCGAAGTTGATTTGCCGGCGCACATCACAATTGCCTCATCGGTCGGAAAGAACAGACCACATGTCATGGGACAGGGAAATTGTTTGAGGAATTTCTCATCATTCGTAGTCGAATTTAGATCCCAAACACGTACGCCACCGTCGAATCCGCACGTGAGAAACTCGTTGGCATTGCGATTGCTCCATTTGACGCAGGCATTGGCAGCCTTGGGGTTTTTGATCTCAATACGTCGCACCGGTGTAAGTACACCATCTGGCGAGTGCGATTTCAGTATGTGTATGTTGTTGGCATTGGCCACAACAGCGACATGGTCGCTGGCTATTGGGCTCCAAGAGATTTCAGTGATGTAACGTGGTGCTAACGGTACATCCTGTACTAGGGTGTAGGAGTATGCGAGATTGGGATTCCGATGGTACACTTGTACGTGTCCGCGTTGGGTACCAACGTAAAGCAAGTTATCATGTACCGACACAGTTGAGATGCTTTTAACCTCACGGATGACGTGTGCATCTAAAAATCGGGAGGAAAATGCCATAGGTTATTACAGTGTCAGAAAAAGAGAGAAACTGATGAAAACTGACGAAAAAAAGGCAATCGGTTGGTTTACAAGTCTGACCGACGTTGTCTTACAAAAACCTAACAAAGAAGGTGTTCTAAAGACAGGTCAAAAATAACATCGATAGACAAGCATTTAACTCCTTAAGAAACTCTCTTTCAGGTGTATGATGCTCTGAAAGTCAAATCATCAATCGAAGCCGAATATTCCCTTCCCGTATCCCACTAAGCGATCCCATGTTCTTTGGGTGTCCTAGTATCTTAAATCGTAGAAGAATGGCGTATATGGCAGGTGGCAACTTATGAGAACCACCCTACTCAACGAATCATATTGTGGATCAACGACTTGAGATTGCAAACGTACAAAAATTAATAGGAGCACCGGCAGTCCGGCAGTGCATCAAATGAGTTTAGTAACGGCAAGGGACCAGAATGATCTACGCACTACGGTATTTTAAATACAAAGATACAAATATTTTGAGATATAATCTTAAAAAAACAACCTTGGATAGAGTTTTTCATATATTAATCTTTTCGCGTAGATCTTACCAATTATATACGTCTCAAAAACACACTTGGATACACTTTACCTCTTACCAGAAGAAAGGTATGCCTGCAGTCACGAACCTTACACCGGCATCGCGGTATTCTAATTAAATATATGTAAATAGATGAGCAAGTAACGGGTGATCCATATAGAGGTACTTTTTTCAATAGCCTTTTTTTAACAGATCACGCATGAGTCGTGTTAAGCTGTCATGTGATATTTATTGGATAATATCCGACCGAACAGACCACGTCCAGCACGCAGTGAAGAAAATATAGCGGCCGTAGCTAAGAGTGTACACAAAGACCGTGAAGAGTCGATTCGGCGCCGTTCGCAGCAACTCACACTGACTTATGGAACGAAAATTGAAAGCGTACAAAATACAGCTTGTGTAAGAACTGAAGCCGCTCAACCTTCTCAAGCGACATCGCTTCGCTCTATGGGCTCTTGAAAAGACACAAGAAGATCCGACGTTTTCGAGACAAATTTTGTTCGGCGATAGGGCCCATATCTAGCTCAGTTACCAGTCGAAATGTTCAAACGAGTCATCCAAAATGGGACTCAACGGATGGACCATCTGAGACGTAGCTGCGGCCAACATTTGAAAGAGATAATCTTCATGAAATAAATGCCAAAGAATGTGCTTTCGAAAAATAATAATAAAAATTCCCCATTAAATTTGAATTTACTGTGTTTTTTCCTTTAAAAAAGTTGGGAACCTCCCCCTTAATATTATATTTGTATTTACCTATACGTATGGCCTTCAGTTACGAACGATTTAAGCCTTTCCAGACTGGTTTTATTAATTTTAAAAATTCATTTTCTTTTATTATATTAAATAATTTGTTCTATGAAAATATAATTTTTTGGCTTTCCTTATTTTTAAAGACTCCTTAGACTCAAGTGCCGCAAAGTGAGGAATTTGAATGCGAAAACATTGCCTAGAGCGTTTGACTACTTATTTTTTTGGCAACTGTTATATAATAAAAATAAAAATACATTAGATCTGGCTACCCTTACAAATTTCAAATCGATTCCAAAATTTTCGTTTGGCCAAATATTTGTAATTGAAATTTTTTCCATTTTTATTTTATATTTTTTTTCAACAGCCTTAACGTCGGTTGTCAGAGTTACGGTCCAACCAAACGTCGCGGTAGAAATTCGCTTGTTCGATATTTTAGTGGAATCCTTTGAAAGCACCAACTTATATTGTAGAATATTTTTTTAATTTTTTCAACATTTCTATCCAATATATAAATAACGGTATGTCGGTTAAAAATGACTTCTCGCGAATTTTCGTACAATTCATAGAGGAATGCAAAGCGAGCGGCTTGGAAGTCGACCAAAATTTCGCATATTTCTACGTACATTTGTTGGCGCGCGACGCACGTCTTGGCCTGCGGTACGAAACAGCGAATAACTGCAAACTGCTGCAACTAAAGCAGAATGCAATACAACTATATAAGAACAAGACAGATCCAACTATGTGCAATCTATTAATGACCTATTGTTTTCGAAATTTCCGCGAACTGAATATACACCATTTGAAAGAAATCTACGAGGAGAGCTTTCAACAGAAGCTGCAAATGCTTATCATGGGCATACTGCAGTATCCGGAGACGAGCAACGAAAAGCAGCTGGATGAAATGCTCTACAAGATACAGGTCTTCATAATTGCCAGTTATAATATCGGCGATCCGAAGAATCATGTTGTAAGTAGAATGCGATGACTAAGTAGACTTCGTTTTTTCTAATTTAACATGAATTCTTTTCTGAAGCTCTTGAAGCAGACGCGACAAAGTCTTAAAAGCGTACTCAGCCACGGCGATCTGCAGAATTTTGTATTGAAGAAACGCTATCATCGTTTGGAGTATCTACAGCGTTTGACAGCCACTGTATGTGGTATACTTATCTACAATAATTGTGACCCGACTGGCGAACGGGAAAATATGCGAGACAGTGAGTAGACAACGAATTTATTTCGGACTATATGAGAAAGGTTCTCAAGTGGGACGAGTAAATTTTTACTTGAAAAGTTTTGATAAGACGCATCACGGATAACGCTACAGAGGCTAAGGCTGCGTTGGACGCAGTTTGACTCCGAAAGCAATAATCAACGAGGTGTTGAGGCGTGACAAATACTGTTTATTAGACTATCTGTAGAGACCCGGCAATGTACTTGAACGCGGTGGACAAGGTGACAGGTAGCAAGGCTGATAATTTTATTAAGAACTATAAATTCTCGACAAGAACCAGTTCAACTCCAAACTCGACTCAAACTGAAGACATAGATCGCCGAAATAACAGCTTTGGCAGGATAAAATCCGCGTAAATTCCGGTAACGTAGAACCGGCTGTTGTGGAAATTTTAGTCTTTACGTAGTGTTTGTTAGCTATGAGGCTGAATGTTTTATTGGTACAAATCTCGGCCTCAGATCTTTCTTTCAATAAGGTTTTGGGTTTTCTCTACTGAATTACAATCTACTACAGTAAAGATTATGGACCGTGACACTAAGGCTTTGGTCATTAATCGAAAGACGGAAATCATATAGACACGTCCCCTTGGTCAGATAGCTTCAGAATTTACACATATTTATAGAAATAGTGCCAATTCGAGCAGATGGAAATAATAACAAATGATTGTTACTGGTCGAAGGTTCCAATAAGAGCCCACACAGCACCGGTTGTTTCATTAGAACACATAGTATTACAATATTAAGAATGTCGATATCAACTGTGTCCAGAATTCCTTATTTCGTAAACCGATTATGTACTTTAGACCTCACATTAGGAGTTTCCATAAAAAATTGATTTTTGAAGAAACGATTGTAGTGTTTGCCAAAGCAAAAAAAAATGCAATTTGTCGATGTCTTTGAAAGTTTAGACTGCCGTACTCTTCATATAACTATTCTTATCGAAAAAAGACTTTACTTTTGCGAGTTTCGACAAAAAAAAAACCCCACTTTATTGAAATGTTTCCCTCTTTTTCCACCTAACAGTCTTAACTGATATTCAAATGGCAAAAACGAATACACGAGAAGCGCTTGAAGCCGCGCTAGAAGATATCGATCACTACATAGCGACTGGCATAGAGGCTATCGGCAATCTAATACAGGTGGACACAAAAGAGAAGAAGGTCCATTGCAAGTGGCCCATCGAGAAAGTGCGCGAAATTAATAAATATGTCATCTTGTTCAGTTCGTATGATAAACTGCTAAAAAATATAGTCGAGGCATTTGAGAAAACTGAATATCTAGTTAATCTGGATCAAAAGAAGATGGACTGTATAATAGAGAAAATCAATGAGATACTAAAATATCGCACAGCAATCGAATCGGAGTTGGTGTTCGTAAGTAAAAGAAAACGAAGACAATTTTTAAAAAATTAGATTTAATATTTCTTTTCTTGCAGCCACATTTTAAGTACCTCTCGCATTTATGGACCTCATTACTGCTGTCGCTAAGCCACTTAGCCGAACTGAACCGGCTCAAAGAACAGCTAGACGAGTATGTAAGCGAAGAAATCAAGGAAAATTTTCGTAAACTTTTGAAAATAACCGAAGTGCGACGCAAAGTGGTGAAAAAGGATCTGTTAACAACATTCGATGAACTTATGGAACGTACCAACAAGGCGCATCCAGTAATGACGTCACTGCAGAATGTGGTTCGTACCATTTCCCCGAAGAAATATTGTAGATTTATAGTATTTAACGGGAAGTGTCTTTGTAGACGTTGAACTTTCAAAATTACTGCGCTTTAAGCCTCGCACTAACTAACGGTTTGCTGATGCCCGCTTTTCTAACGAAGAAACTTTGCGAGGACTCACAATTTCGCTTCGGTTTTGCAAATATCGAATTCGCAAAATATGCCGAACGTTATTTCGAGGACTTCATAGACACACTGAAGACGGCAATTTACACTTCCGTCGATCTTATTTTACTCTTCGGACTGACCGATGTGATTCTACAAAAGGACTTTGTTGACGAGCGCAAGAACCGCAAGGGCAAACAAATATCGGCGAGTGGCACGCAAACAGAGATGGTTGTTGTAAACGATCTCACACCTTCGAATCGCATAAATGTCACTTGGAACAAGTGGGACTTTCATCGCGAAACCATACACCTGGCGTATATACGAAAGCTGCAGACGCATGCGCAGCAAACCGCTTTGTCGTACGGCACCATGAATGCGCAAAACGAAAGCTTGCCATACGGACATCGTACAAATTGATTGTGGTTATTGTAATGACATTTTTTTTTTGTAATAAATATGTGTATGTATGTAAATCGTTACGCTTACTTACCTTTTTGCTCCGAATTTGTATCGTAAACGGCCAAAATATCGTTGCTAACCACGAAAATGTGATCGCCTTGCCAATCAATGGAATAAATGGGCTTGCCACAGAATGGGTTGAAAGTGATGGTGGGTTTACCAGACTCCACATGGATGATGCCGACCTGTTGGGATATATTAAAATTAGTTTAAGGATTTTTTTGGAATTTATAACATACATATGTATGAAGGTGTACAAGTATATACATATATATTAGTCAAAAAAAAGGCTAATTCTTTTTTCGAATAATAAAATATATACATTAATTAAATTCAAAGGTTATAATTAAAAGCATTAAAATAATAGTATCTAATAAAAGAGTTAAAAGAAAAACAATAACTTAAAAACAAGAAAAAAAAATAATAATAAAAATAAATAAAAAAAAATAAATAAAAAAAAAAACAATAAATAAAAAAAATTATAACGAAAACAAAAAAAAAATATAAATTAATTAAATTAAAAATAAATTAAAATACAAATAAAAAAAATGAAAGAACTAATAATCCAATCAAAATGTAAAAAAAAAATAAAAAATAAATAAAATAATAGAATGACAAGTAATGAACGGTGTAATCGAACATTTTATGCCCACGACAGTCGGGTCTACGTAACCGGAACGGACCCGGATTTATCCGGCCAAGGACTGTCAACTCGGCAGAATTCTGCCGCAACAAAAACAACATTTTATGCAAGGTAAAGTGATATCATGATTGAATTATATAAAATTGTGTCGATAGCACAAAAACAACAATTTGTCAAAATCAGCCGTTTTTTCTTGTATGGTTATGATTTTATGATTTAAAAAAAAAAATTTCAAATAAATAAACCAATGAAAATGCGTAACGATTTTGAGTGATAACTGAATACGAATAGATTGTAAATCACACGAAATCATCAAACTGAAAACAGAAAGAAAAACAAACAACAAAAAAACAGTTTTTTTTGACATTATGGATACAGACACTTCTTTCATAAGAGGAAGCACGCTCCGTATCAACACAACCTTATATAATTAAATCATAAGTGATATATGGGATTTTCGTATATATTAAAAGTAATGCAATAGCATTTCTTATTTACAATCACAGGCAAGAAGATACACTGTTATTAGAAAGAGACTCTTTCTAAATTTCATTAAAATTTCTTACATATTGACCGATAAAAGTCGACCGGAAGTTCGAAAATATTTTCATTAGGTATATGAGGGCTAAGGAAGGCATTGACCAATGATTTTACCCATTTAATACTCAAAATATTCTCCCCGAATTTCAATACCAGAACTCACAGATTGACCGAGATGTTCGTTAAAAAAACTCAGCCAAATGCACTGGGGTCCAGATATTTGATCACTGGATCCTTAAACAGTTATGGCCCGATTTCGATAATTTTTAAAGTTTAAATACCTTAAGGGCATTAGTTTTATCCCGAATTTTGTTTTGTATATTGGAAGTGAAAGAATCAGATGGAACTTAAAGTTTTATTATATGGGAAGCAGGCGTGAGTGATTTTCCATTGTATTATAGGAATAGTTGAAAAAAACATATAAAATTTGTTCACAATAACTTGTTATAAAGCGCACTCACCCTGCCCTCTAGCGTACCAAATGCCAAGCGCTTACTATCCGGACTCCAAACAAGCGCCAAGACAGAAGCATCGATGCGCGATATAAAATTTTCGATGAACACATTAGTGGCAGACATCTTGGATATGTCAATGATACCAACACGACGATCCGAGAAAGCCAAAGCAATTCTACAAACAATAATCGCAAAGACATTGTCATTAAATACTTGTCTGTGAATGTATAAATATGAAATTAATTACTTATTCATATCATCCGGGCACTCACGCATCGCCGAAACATTCGTGGAAGCACAACAATATTTGAGCAACAGTTTTTCAGTCTGCAAATTTTCGCAACTTATTTCACGATACGATGACAAGCACCAGAGCAAGCTGTGTGCATGCGAAATGCTGAAGGACATGACGCTGCGCTGAAGAAACGATTTTTTATTGTCTGCTTTGAACTTGTAACGTTGCTGTTGCGGATTTGTGGCAGTAGTTGGTGTATCTTGTACCATTGACCAAAGTGACAGTTCACCAGTTTTATTTGTGGTTAGGAATTCGGTTGAGCTCAGCCAGTCAATTTGTATGCTGGTGTCTAAAGGATTGAAAATTATTTCTAATTACTTGCTTTTATTATTGTAATATAAATAATACTTACTTTTGCCATGTTTGCCTGCGTTTATAGCACGCAAGCGGTCACAACTTGCGCCGGTGTTTGTATTCCAAATCCAAAAACTGCCATCAACACTAGCGGAAGCCAACAGTGAGGGTTGCTGATCTTTCTTTTCGGCAGTGTTAGAATTGTCTTGAGATATCACTCCGTCTATGGACGGTTGTTCCGAATTGCTTTCTGAAGTCACAGTGCGTTTATCATCATCAACCTTTAATACATCTGCTTTAGTTGGGTTTTTATCAACATTTTCAACAATATTTTCGTTTATTACAGGCTTAGTAGTGACAAAATCCGACTTCTCTTTAATTTCTTTTTTTTCTAACTCGTTGGATTGCTCTGCATGCACTTCTGCCTGATGAAGTATTTGTTGTTTTGGATTTAACTCTCCACCATCGACGCAAACTTCGTCGTCCGATGAACGCTCAGCTAAATCTAAGCTACCTTCGGTTGACTCACCGCTGTCGCCACCGCAACTGGAAGATAAATTGTCAGCACAAGCTACCTTTTGGCAATCGGCCAGCGTGACATCGGGCAATTGTTTGGAATCACCATCTCCGTAATCTTGCTCCTGCTTCAAAGCATCTATTTCCCCTTTAAGACTTTGGCATGCTTCGACAAAATCAAAATTTGTTGTTGGACCACATTCCATAGACTTTTCAGTAACAATTTCTTCAGCAGTTTCTTTCGCTTTCTTTTCCGTTTCTGTTGGAGCACCAAATTCATTTTCCAAATAGTCGTAGTCATAGATGTCGAAGATGTCATCATTACCGACTGGCATAATCGATTTTTTCGCATTATTTTGCGTTTTAGAATTTTGCTTTGGTGCAGCGTTTGACTGCTTTGCATCCTCAATTATCTGTTGGGGTTCCTCAGTTAAAGTTTTCGCGGTCTGGTTTTCGTTTTTTAGCGCACATTTTTGCTGTTTAAATGGTGCCACATTTTGTGGACACCATGAAAGTGAAGTTATTGCAGCTTCATGCCCACGTAACATATATAATGTGCTCATACTTTGTAAGTCACCAATTACAACCAAACCACGATTGTTGCCTACAGCAAAGATATGTTCATTGTATGGCGAGCAGCGTAGCACCGTTAGTGTTTGATTTTTGCTAGAAATAAACATTGGTCGGCGACAATAAGTATTAGACGCCACGCAATACACCACAATATCTTGTGCATTGACCGACAGCACATTGCGATTGCGCATATAACTTAATAGCACATGATCACCTTGCGGCGATGGTCCATTGCCATCCATATACAACGCAGTGCTAAAGTGAGCCTTATGGCCACTCACCGCACAACCACGGTTGAAATCCCAAATCTGTACGGAATTATCCTGTGCCAAGGCGGCAAAGTACTTTTGTTGATTGTTAGTGGTCGGAGTTTTTGCCACTTCAGTAGTATTTTCGGAGGCTTTCACTGCTGTGGCAGTGTCTATTGGCCACCCGGGATCTACATCTATACTCAATATACTTTGACGTGTGTGGAAAACTTTGATGACCGGCGGCTTATTTTCATCGTCGCCGCCATCAACTTGTTGAATTGGACCGACATAGTTAATACTGCGTGAACCTACATAAAGGAAACCACCATCCGGTGTGCAAACACATCCTTTGTTAAGAAAACATAAATATTAGTACCACGACAACTTACACACAATTTACATATTTACCGTTTGTTAAATTCCATTGTGGAGTAATTGGCACTTTTGCCAAAACCATATTTTTGATATGCACGTGTTTTATACGAATACTTTTGTACAACACCTTCGTCACTTTTTTGTAAACACTCCTTGGCCGGCGTCTTTGGTTTGCGAGTTCAAATTTTCCTTTTTATTAGAGATGCTACGATCGTCGACTTATCGTTATTACTGGAAAATCTTTTCAAATGACAAAGCTTAGAACACTATTAATATTTTTAATATTGTTTAAAACTTAATGCATTACAAATTAATTTAAAAAAGTTGTAATTGATATTAAAAACTGTTCCTGACGTTTTACCGAAATTAAACTGTAATCACTACATGTTTAGTACTTAATATTTAATTTAATGTTATTTATTGCCAAATCTAATTTTCATAATATATGCGTAACTTATCATGTATATCATATATATTGTGCTGATATATTTTATATTAATTATTTTTGAATAATCGTTTCTCCGAGGGTATTTGAAAAATAATCGGATTAGAAATCGGATGTCAGCTGTTCACTGCTGTCAAATTAGGAATGAAAACAAATTAGAATAAACAGCTGTTTTAATTGAATGGGGGCACGTAAAAAAAATTGCGAAACGTTGCATTTCATTAAGTAAATTTGTTGTAGAAGTCTCAATATAAAACATGCTTCTACATAGAGCGTTATGTCGCAGCTGGACCCGGCAAATTGCGTGAGTACTTCAAAGATTTATGCTCACAAACGTTTATGTATTATTAACAAAAAATATTTGTATACAACAACAGCGAACCATTATTGCCCAGTTACAGCAGTAAATTACTACGGCCGCGTACAATAATAGTGCGCTCGATGCGTAGCAGTCCACGCCATCAGCGTCCACCACGCAGCGACAGCCTACAAACATCGCCACCATTCGAGAATTACACTTTTGGTGGAGCAGTGCCGCCAAGTAACGTGGTGAAGGCTCTTGTATTCGCTGGCGCGGTATTATAAAATAATTATGTGGAAATGGTAAATTGTTTAAATAATCATTTTTTACATTCTCCAGTTCAGTGTTGGCTGTTTCATGAGTGTAACTATACTGGAATATGAGAACACACGTAATATGATGATAGAAAAGGCACGTCAAAGTAAATTTCCTTGGCTACGAAGACAAAACGTCAGCCAGGATAGAAATATGTGGCAAGAATTAAAACAGGAGGTGAAACACCATTGGGATAAACTGACACCCGGTGAGCGGGTGTTTGTGCCACTTTGCGCACTGAATGTAATAGTATTTGGACTTTGGCGCGTACCGTCATTGCGGAACACTATGATGACTTATTTTTGTTCGAATCCTGCAGGACGTAAGTTTCTTCAAGAGTTTTCTAAAGGGTTAGAAATATTTTAAAAATATATTTAATATATCTTTTTCAGGTGCCGTCTGTTGGCCAATGTTCCTATCGACTTTCAGCCACTACTCAATGTTCCATTTATTCGCCAATATGTATGTTTTGCACAGCTTTTCCAACGCCGGCGTGTTGTCTTTGGGAAAAGAACAGTTTTTAGGAGTCTATTTGAGCGCGGGTGTGATTGCCAGTCTGTCAAGTATTATATATAAAACGGTGACTTCTAAGCCGGGACTTTCAATAGGCGCGGTAAACTTCTTTTATATATGAAAAATCATATAGGTATATAGTTTTATATTTATTATTATTTCATCAATCCTTGAATTCCAGTCCGGCGCGATAATGGCTATTTTGGCTTTTGTTTGTGCTAAGTATCCAGACACACAGCTAAGCATATTATTCCTGCCTATGCTGAATTTTTCGGCGGGAGCGGTAAGTTTCTATGCAAGTACGAATAGTTTTATCAAAAGTAATCTTATTTTCGTTTACTACAAAGGCCATTAAAGTTATAATGGGATTCGATCTAGCTGGTTGTATATTAGGCTGGAAGTTCTTTGACCATGCTGCCCATTTAGGTGGTGCTCTTTTTGGACTGTAAGTTGTTAATACGTAATCCATATGATTCGAAATTTCATTTACGTATACATTTTTACAGTTTCTGGGTTTACTTCGGTACAGAATTATGGCAGAAGCGGATACCGTTTCTGACAATGTATCATGATTTGCGCAAAACTAAATAGCAGTTTTAAAACAAAAGCTTTTATTTTAAATTCAAGACTAGTTAAAACACATAATTTTGTGGTCAATAATAATTTTAAATGCGTAGTTTGGTAAATTATTATTATTAAGTAGTGAAAACCACATATTTTTATGCATACTTATGTATTTAAATCGCTAACGTTTTTCATGAGGCAAAAACAAATAAAAGCAAATCTTATATTTTCAAATCACTCGAATTATTTGTTACTTCTACTTATATAATATTTGTTTTTACGTTAAAATAAGGCTATTGTCAGTCTAAGGTTTCTTTCTCTTGTTATCCGGCGGTACACTACACTGAGCATCAGTTGACATTATGATTGCTACTTTTTTGTTAACTTGCTGCCTGTGTTTGATTTCTACTTTCCTCTGTAAGAATTTTTCGCGAAGTTCATCTGTGGTTTCGTACTCCGGAGCATACGATATATGAAGTATACCGCCATAAAATTCTTGTGCATCTAAATACCGCTTGGCAAGGCGCGCTGCCAGCACTTTTGTAAATTTCACATGATACACATCAGTGAAGGCTTCTAACTCCACTATAAAGTAAGTAATAGATTAATAACATATTTTGCATATCAACTCTCTTTAGTTAACCTTTTTTTGCCAACTCCTCTGTAACACATTGTATAAATTCAATATCTCCACAGCGTTTCAGTTTACACTTGATCTCTTGTTTCAAATTAATCTTTGGCACTCCAAATACTATAAGGTGTTTTGATTCATTTGCTACAGTGTAGACCTGATGATTTTGTAAAAACCTGTAGATAATCAGATTATAAATTAACTTGTATAAAGTCAATGTTATACCTTAACAGCTCTTAACCGCCGACCTCTTCTGTATTCCAAACGATTCCTGCAATAATTCTGTCTTATATGATGAGTTGCACCTTTGTTTTCATCCATATTTTACACTTTTCAGATCTAATGAGAGGGAATATCTTGTTTTATTCAAAAATACACTATTTACATCTTAAAACTATTTTATGCTTTAACCATTGCCTTTTACTTGCTTTTTCAATGGCTTAAACATAATTTTGTTTACTAAGATGAGATAACTATTTAAAATCGAATTGGCCTCCAAGTATTATCGACATTTAAAAATTGTTTAATTATTATTATCGATTTCAGCTGGGTCAAATTCACCACCTCTTTCATACCCAGTAATTCTCAAACTTAAAGAACTATAGACAGAGAACGTAAATGAATTTACGTTCTCTGCTAACGCTCTATTACCAGAGAACGTATATAATATACGTTCTCTGATTCTACTCACAAAACCAGCTGTTAAAAGCACCAATCTGTTTTTATTGTTCCTTTGATCAGAGAACGTATATCATAGAGAAGACAGAGAACGTATATCATGATACGTTCTCTGCTGCAATATTATTGTTTTTGCTTCAGCTGTCATTGTTGACAGTATATAATGCTACCAAATACACATGAAAAGTTGAAAAATCGAATCATTACAAAAATGTCGCACCTAAATTGATTTTAAAATTTTCCTTTGCAAGCATTAATAAATTATATTTCGTCATATTGTTATTGAAAATAAGTGCGTGTAAATACGAAAATGATTATGGACAATTAAATGTCTAATTCCTAATTATATTAAAAGTCGGTGGTTTTAGTTGGTTGGAGCTGTGAAAAATCCAGGTAAACAGTGAAGTGAAATACAAAAGAAAAAACAAACGCTATTATTAAAACGTGATTTTGTTTGTACATATTACATTTACACTTTTTTAATTGGTTTTACAAACATTTATTATAAACTAAATTTAGAAGTTGTGTTTATTATGTGAAGACAGTAATACCTATAAGTATTGAGAACTCCAGCAACATAATGTACTGTGCATTAAGACAAATATTATACTTTTCTGTAGAGCAAATAAACTAGGAACCGATAAACATATAATATATTCGACATGGCTGCAATGATTAAGATATAAAATTACTCGCCCAACCAAAGGAATAAGCTTGTGGAAAAATGCCAGAGAAACGGAATACGCCACATGAACTGCGTGTCTACAAGATTGTGATACTTGGAGATGGCGGGGTTGGTAAATCGGGTAAGTTAGCACAGTCTGTCAATTTGAATAAAACATAAATTAATGAAATTCTTTTTTCTCCATTTTAGCTGTCACCTTGCAATTCGTAAGTCATAGCTTTACGGACTACCACGACCCAACTATCGGTAAGCTAATAATTTTAATAAAAATAGGAAGTATATCATATATAATAATTATTTGCAGAGGATTCCTATCAGCAACAAGCAGTGATTGATGGCGACGCCGCTCTGCTGGACATACTCGACACTGCTGGCCAGGTTGAGTTTACGGCCATGCGTGATCAGTATATGCGCTGTGGCGAAGGTTTCATAATATGTTACTCAGTGACGGACCGGCATAGCTTTCAGGAGGCGTCAGAGTATCGTAAATTAATACAACGCGTGCGACTATCCGAAGACATACCATTGGTACTAATAGCGAATAAAATAGATTTGGTTTTAGCAAGAAAGGTATATTCCTTAAATTACTATAACCTCAAAACCTTAAAAAAAAAATAAATAAATTGCTTTTAAACAGGTAACCACTGAAGAGGGCAAAAATTTGGCAAATCAGTTTGGCTGTCCGTTCTTTGAGACGTCCGCATGTGAGCGACATTGCATTGATGAACCATTCTACACGCTCGTACGTGAAATACGTCGCAAAGAGGTAAACAGAAATTCTATATATTTTTATTTAATATTTGAATGCTATTGTAACGTAACAGGCACAAGGCAGTGGCACAAGTTCCGAAAAGTTACATTCTCGTAGGCGCAGCCGCTGGTGGCGCATACGCTCAATATTCGCTTTAGTCTTTCGGCGCCGCAGAAATCTTAATTAGGCATGCGCCTATGCATAAGACCAGCTAAATGTGTGAATTAAAGTATACAATCAAATTGGTATAATTAAAAACGCACACAAGAAATCGGCGGTGATACTGGGACTGCAACTGAGACGGTTGTATACGCAACATATAATTTTCATTTTCAACTAACAATAACAAAAGCATTTAAATCAGCAAACTTTCCTACTGCTCAAATCAATTTATAAGTTCTTTGCCAGTACTAATAAGATATGTGACATCAAGTGTGTAAACAAGCGTTTGAAGTTGCTTAAGTTAGCCAAGCTACGACTCAATATAGATTTTCTTAATTTATTTCATTTCTAATAAATTTGTAATTGATTTATATTTTTAATGCATACAGTTATATTGTAAAATTAATAATTTTAAACTATTTAATATTTTTGGTTGGCGACATTATTTTTATAACGGTTTGCTCAAATGTCAAAAGTGCAAGGCAGTGAAGAAGTCATAGTGATTTTCTTTTGTGTTTTTGTTTTTCCTTCCATAAGAAAATCGTGTCGAAAGCTCGTGTGATAGTTTTGAGTGTTAAAAAGTAAAAAAGGCAAACTATTTAAAGAATAGTGCGTATTTTTCAAAAATCTCTCTAAAACAGCAATAAACTTTTCAACCTGTCCAACAAATACGTATGAATGTGTATAATATAAACATGTACTACTAGTGCATAAAAATGTATATACATACATATTCTATATATATATACATTATATTATGAATGCTAGAGCATGCAACATGACAACTAATATATTATAAATGTTATACAAGAAGTAAACAAATACAAATTCTTAAAATTTTACTCAATTATTAAATGAATCTTAAATAATAATACATATTTACGATACTTCCGTAACACAATTAGATGGCTTAATACAATATACAAAAATAATGGATATGTTAAGTGTAAAACAATAACCAACTAGTTAATTTAAATAGACCTTGTTAATTTTATGCAAATACAACCACTTGAAAGCTCTGAGACTTTTATCCCAAAAAGTGATAAACAAACTAATTAACTAACTATTGAATGCGCCATTCAGCGCGAATTCTATACGGGCCATATTATAATTATAAGGATCTGTTGAAAATCGTACTATCAGTCTGCGAAAATTCCCCCTCCTACATATTGTACTACTATTAAAAATTGTTACAGATGTGTTATCTAGTTGAAAATTTACATGAAAAATGTACTCAACATAAATATTTTATTTTGAATTGTAAATTCAAAATAAGTCATACTATATAAATATAGTTGAAAAACATATATATATATTAGTTATAGCATTAATTTGAAAAGCTTTAATATATTTATATTTATTATTTTTTATTGTTAAATAATATGTAATTTATTTTAATTTTTTGCCTGTTTTATTTATGAAATGTGTAAATATGTATTCATACATATGTATGTACATCTTATTGTACCTGGGTGAATAATAATAATTTTACAAGCACAAACATTACACAAACACTCGGGTAACAAGTTCCAATAAAAAATTATAGCATAAAAAATCACAAGATTATAGCAGATTTGAGATGGTCAACTATTAACTACACAAAAAATTGAAACTGTAAGTTCCTTTGTTGTTAAATGAATTATTTAAAAATATATTTATTGTCGTTTTATTTTTTGTTTTTGTTTTTAGAAATAAGTTTAGTTTTAATAAACCTATTTTAATTGTTTCTATGTAAACACAATTAATGTATTAATTGAATGTATTCAACTTATGTTTTGTACAGATGCATATTATTTTAATCACAAGAGACAAAAAACAATTTAAATGTACAGTAAGTTAAATTCTCAACTAACATCAAAGAAAAAACTTATAAACTTAAATATGTTTATTGTTGTTGTTTAAATTTTCGTTGATTTTAATTTTCTGTGTACCGTGTACAATTATGTTTTATTTTCTACAGATAATAATAACTTTCGTTAAATACTTGGATGATATAATTAAATTATTGATGAAAGCAAATGCTTTAAAATCAAAAAAGTAATTAATATTATACTTTATGTCTCCTAATACCATTATAAATAAAATCAGAATATTGCGAGATGGAATTTTGTTTGATTTACTTATGTATGTGGGTGATAGCACTCATTTTAACCACTCAAACTTTGAGGTTAGGTTACACTATAAAATTATAGCAGCAGCAGATATTAATAACGCTTAAAATTACTTTTAAATTACTAAATGAGTATTATGTCATGTCCTTTGGACGAAGAAAAAATTATACATTTACGATGTTTTTAATCGCTTTCGCTGATGACGTCACGTTTCCGGTGCTAAAAGTCGTAATTTTATACCCGATTTCGATATTTGTACTAAAGTAGTTTCAATATATGGGCCCAATAAGAGATTTTGTATAAATGAACTTACTATATACTTAAATGTGTTTTAAAAACAATTCTTTAAAGTTCTTTTTACTTGTATTTATAAAAAAATTGGTATATCGCTCACAATACACAGTATGCAAAATCGTAAGCTATAGATACCTTAAAGAATACGCGTTAAGAAATATATGGCAACACCGCGCAACAATGGAACGTGCGATTTGTTTTGGTTTTTCGTTTGCACGTTTTTAAGTAGTTGATTTGGAAATAACTACTTTTTCTAGAAAAATAAATTATTATAATGAAAGCTAAAAATAATAATGATAAAAATAATAAGCTGCGCCAGCGGCTTACACAACTATTTGAGAAGGGAAATGTCAAAGTAAAGCAAGTTAATAGTAATGCTCAGAAAGACGAGTTAAAGACGAAACTTCCTATCAAAATGAGCAATGCTCATAAAGATAAGTTGAAGACGAAGCCACTTCCAACAAAAATGGGCAATGGTCATAAAGAGGAGTTAATGACGAAACCGCTTCCTAAAACATTGGAAAAACCTAAAAGTAATATAAAAGTTTCTACTAAAGTAAAGACAGAAAATAATAGAAAGAGGAAACTTCAACAAAATGATGCTATCAAGGAGGAGAACATATCAAGCACCCTTTCAAAAAAGAAAAACAAAAATGTAAAAACAGTTGGCAAAGCTAAGCACCATGAAGTCAAAGTGACTGCAAAAATTAATGGCAAAGCTACGGAAACGTGCAAAAGCACTAAAAAAAATACAGTTGTGAAGAAAAAGCCAAAAATTGATTTGCCTTTGGTGCAGCACAATGGAAGTAATAATGTGGAAACGTCGGGTAGCGAAGATAGCGATTATTATTATGATTCCGATGAGGATTATAGTTTCGAAGATGACTATGGACAGTATGATCAATATGACAGTTATACTGATGGTTCTGATGCTTATTCCGATTCTGATGAAAGTGAGCACTATTTTGATGACTATGGCTATGAAGACTCTGATTCTGAATACACTGAATGCGAAAATGAGGAATACCATTATGACTCTGATGTATTTTCGGGTACTGATCCAGATTATGAACTGCCACGAAATGTGGCTGAAGATCTAGTCATACACAAAGGTGGGTGACAGTATTAATTTTACAAATATACTTACTATAAAAGTTTTTAAATGACCACAGGCACTGCACAGAAACATGATTTAGGAGAAGAGTATAATGTAGACTTCGATAGTGATAATGATGAGCCACAAGTCATTGAATTGGTTGCCGAAAGTACAATTTATGAAATAAAACAACCGGATGCATATGCCAAAACTGAGTTACATAAATTGAACCTGCAGTTTGTGCCACCAAATAAAGCACAAATAACGGATGGCTTGAAACAAAAAGTTGAAAATGCAAATGACTGCCCACAACTAGTACCAATTATTAATGAAGATGGTTTTCAACTGTACAACTCGGAGAGTGATTACAGTTCATATGAAGGATTAAGTGATGAAAGCTCTATACCTGATGAGGATATAAACCTGAAATACACTTCAAGTGGAAATGTTTGCGATAGCGATTGTGATAGTGAAGATAGTATACAAAATAAGAAACGAAATCCCATTTTTAATATAGGCATCGTTAATGTAGAAAACTGCATTCCACAAGAAAGTAGTCGAGGTGTGATTAGTTCAGATGAAGCTGAAATTGAACGACCGATTTTTGATCTACTCACTGCCGAAAAGTTACATACAAATATTGATAAAGACAATTTTATTACGGTTAGTATATGTGAGAGAACAACGACGCCAAAGCAAGTGGAAGAAACAGTTGAAAGGAATCATGACGAAGTAGCTACAAAGAAAGGTTCTGAGGAAGAGGTACAAAATGCCAATGTCGATTTGCTTACACAGACCGTAAATAAAGAAACCAATCTAGAGGCTGGAGAGGAAGCTACAAGTGATAATGTTGATTTGGCCACTCAACATATGAACGTGGTTGGCGCAGCCGAGGAGATTGAACCCGTACAGGAACGAGGTACTTTTACCTCAATTTTTATAAACGCTGTCAATTCGAATCTTGTGCTTGTGCTGGTGAAAGAACCTTTCTATTTATATGGAACAATTTCTGTAACACTACTGGCAGGTAAAGTAGAAATATACGGCTATAAGCCGCGCCTTAATGAAGAGGTGGAGTTATTTTCACCACGTGGCTGCTGTAGCGTTGATATAACCAGCATTCCATCAGATCCTTCAACCAAAGATAAAGAACTCGAAAATTCATTGGATCCTCTGCGATCAGCATTTAGTTTAGTCGATTTAGAGCGAATAGAGAAGGCTTTTGAAAGTGGTCGGGATGCATTGCTGCTATTAAAGCGTAATAATCGTCGAAAAAAATTGAAAAATATTTTCAAAAAATATATGAATGAAAATGTTTTTCCTAACATGAATTCCATACACACAGATCGGCCGCTCTATGCCAGTGAATACCTACTGGATTGCGTATTAAATATAGCTACTGAAAGATCTTTGCGTATACCTAAGGAGTATCGTGAATTATACTTTACAAAACGATCGAAAGTTGTACTCGCCGGTGGCAAGTCGGTGGGAAAGTCGACGCTTCTCCGTTATCTTTTAAACCGTCGCTTGGAGCGTAGTGAACGTGTGCTTGTCATTGATCTCGATATTGGGCAAGCGGAACTTTTCACACCTCAAACGGTTTCATGTACTGTTTTAACACAGCCTTTACTAGGACCTGGCTTCTTTCTTAACCACCAACCTACACGTGCGTACGCTGTTGGACACAGCAACATAATACTTTGCGCTCAAGCGTATATGCGCGCCGTTAAACAACTAATTGAGTACTGTCATTCAAACAAAGAATTCGCGGAGATGCCGTGGTTGATTAATACAATGGGTTATAATAAAGGATTTGGCTTGGAAGTAATGCACGTTATTACGCAACTAATAAGACCAACCGATGTGGTGCAATTGCAAAGTAACCGAGAAATAAATAATTTCGATATATTATTGCATTCACATGCGCTAGCGAGGTTGGATCGTACGATTTACACGCAGGATGAATTCAAAGCGGAAAAGAGTGATTTACCAACGCTGGAGTACCGGCTGCATGTCTTATCTTCGGCTGTGTTACAAGAAAGTCGCTATCAACGTGATTGGGAAATGAGTGCTAAAGATTTGCGTTACGCAACGTTTTTATCGCGACTAAGCGAGGTGTTGCAAGGTAGCGCTGAATGGCTGACTGATTGTGTGCCATTTGGGTAAGAAGAAATATTTATTAACCTTAATTGACCTATCAGAAGAGAACGCATTTTTCTTTTTTAGTGTTTTTATTGAAAAGCTACACCTAGTGAATTTGGTTTCCAATAAATCCACACGTGAAGAGCTGCTACACGCTTTCGAGGCTAATTTAGTTTACTTGTGTAGGTGGGAAGAAGGAAATAGCGGACCGCTCGAATGTTTTGGCATTGGTGCGTATTAATTACTTTATATTTGTTTAAATATTAAACATATTATTTATAACAGGCATTGTGCGTTCTATTGACCTCAAAAAATTATACTTGTTGCCAGCAATGCCTTACGATACACTAAGCGCGGTCAATTGCTTAGCCTTGGGTGAGATGCCACTACCGGCATCGTTATTCACAAATCAAGGGCCCAAAGTGTCTAATATGGCGGCTTATCTTTACAATACTGTTGATGCAAAAACTTCCAAATCGATTAAACAAATTTACCATCGCCCATCACAATTTCTGACGGGAAAACATAAAAATGTGCTCAACGAATAATGTATCAATTACATTTCATGTATTCTCTATTAATGAAATAATGAGTAAAACATTAAGTGCATTACAAACCCGGCTTTTCATTTGAATTTTGTATTGTATTTACTTAAAATCATGCAGCTTCAAAAGCTAGATCATTAATGCGACAGTACATGTCTGCCTTTAAGTATTCGACGCATTAACACACGACGTCCTTCTGGTGTTGACATACGCTTATCCCAACCATGAACGTTAATGCGCTTAACTTCGCGTGGCTTGGGAAAGTGACAACGGAGCTTTGTTTTCAGTATGGAGCGATTGAAGACATGTGCATCTCGATTTATTATAACTTGTGCAAAATTAACAGCTCCAAGAAATGATCTGTAAATTAGATTAGATTATTACCACATCCAATAATAGAGATCTTTTTAAATACCGATTTAAAACATTTAAGAAAGACATTTCTAAGCCGAATTAAATTAAGAGCAAATTAAAATAAGAATTATGTATGCAGTTGATATTGGATTCTTATAAGTAAAAAATCAGCTGTTTGGCAGCTGGTATGTTCAGTGTGTGCTAATGCTGCCAGCTGGCTTATTAATAATTTGTTATTAAAAATCTCTTACCAGTAATTTTAAGCAAACGGAATTATTTCCAAAAATTTGCTGTTTAAACTTATTTTTACAACAACAAGAATCATGCAAAATCAATTTAGATATGCTTCCTTTTTTTAACTTTTTTAGAGGATAATATAATAATATGGTGACTTTAACAAATTGGTAAAAGGTAGCGAAAACAAAACCACCACTGACAGCTGTCATGTGTGGCGTTGTACCTTGCGCAGCTGCTTTGCTTATTTTAGCCCATAGTACTCTCTTGCTCGGTATTCGTTTTTACCGCCGACGTTTTATGTTCATTTAAGTGCGAGCTGTGCTCCAACAATAAAGCTAACTAGTTTTATAGGCTTTAGTGAATTATGTGTACCGAAAAATCGGGAAATTAAGAAAATGTAAAATAAAAGTACATAATAGTGATTTATAATTGAAATGACCAGTGAAGTTTTAAATAGTGTATAAATTGTGTGAATTGATTGATTTTTTATAATACCTACTAGTTGCACTCATAGCTGGAAATTAGGTTTTTCACGTAATAAATAGTTACAAAAAAAAGTTTTTTAATAAATATTTTACTTACCTTTGCTCGGTTTTATATACCTACATTAAGTATACTAAAGTTAATAACTAATTAATTAGTTATTTAAAGTTGAAGTGAATGAAATGAAAACTACTAGCAAAAGAACGGTTGCGGCCTTTGCATAGGCTTGGATTATAATTGCATTACGAAAGGTAAGCACCAGTACAAAAACCTTCACAAGTCACTGTAGTTAGTATGTACATATGTATGTATATAAATGTATTTGCGAATATACTACATAATCGATTAAGTCTACATATGTATATGTAAGTGAATATGTATGATGAACTTCATATCCGTACAAGCAATTTTTTTCCAAACATCCACACAACTTATTTCCTCAATTGTAAATTCGTGATACCTTTGATGTTTTGACTAGGTATGGTGGCTGCTCCAACTCTATGAGTTTTACCCCCAAAAAATACAGCTTCATTTCCAAGCATAGTAGCAGGAAAATCGATTTTTGCTTTGCTCTGTCTGCGATGATAAGTAAATTGAATTTGAGATATACAAAAGTAGCAAGCAATAATGGCCAGGAGTGATGTGTTTCAGCCATATGACAATTACCAACGAGTTAAGTAAGAGACAGCATCGTTCTTCCTCATCATCACCCACAATTTGAATCTGGCAAAGTTACTGGAATGCATAGTCAGCTGTCGCTACGTAAATTTGCAGATATCGCATTAGCCGATGGGCGTTTGTGTTGTGTCCATCAGCGGCATAGAATATTTACTTTGTTGCTTCAATCTGCACATTTCACATAAATTTCATAGGCAGAGAGTGGAATTCAGCATTGGATGCGCGAGGGAGGATTAGAAAATCGTGTGTGCTAATATATATATATACATACTTGCATTGATGATAAGTTCTCTGCAATTTATTATTGTTGTTTTTGCGCGCGTACAAAGGGAATTTGTCAGTTGCACCAACACCCTCATCTTAAATCATTTTAACGGCGGATCGCCGATGAGGGCAGCTGGTGCGCGTTCAGTCGGCCAACCAAATGACTTGTAAAATAGCGCCGGTTATATGAATGTACATATGTATAAATGTATGTTTGTACATTTATGTACGCTCACAGCTAGAGGGTTGAGTTGTTGGCAGCCGTGACACAAAGAAACATGAAATTGAAAATTGTGAAAAATTCTTATGTATTTATTTCATAAAATCGAAATCTGACCCAATTTTTGTTTTCAAAAAAAAAGTATTTAAAAAAAATTAAGCTACTTCATTAATTAGTAAATTATATGCAAGTGTATTAACAGCAAAGGATAATTAGCTTTAGCTGCAATGAAGTTGCGATTTAGTTATAAAGATTTAACCGATCAGAACAAAATTCGGAGGTTGTAACGTTGTATTGACAATAATCCACGCAGATCCTTTTCAAATACAAAAGTCAAATTTAAAAGGTTTCTATATCATACATTTGTATGGCAGCTATATGCTATGGTAATATGATATCGAAAATTTCGACAAATTAGCAGCTTCTTGAGGAGGAAAGAACTTGTGCAAAATTTGAGATCAATATCTCAAAAATTTCGGCACTAGTTCTCGTGTATACAGACATACATACATGGCTAAATCGACTAAGCTCGTCATGCTGTTCATTTATACATATACATTTTATAAGGGGTCTCCGACATTTCCTTCTGTGTGTTACAAACTTCGTGGCAAACTTAATATATGTATGTACCCTGTTCAGGGTACATTAGTTAATTTTTTCTCTCTTCTCTATATTTTTTTCGTAAGTAAAAAATTTAGCTTTTCCATAAAGCAGAAACTCTGTACCATTTTATAGCTTAATGGCTTCTGCGACACCTGCAAAGAATGTTGCACGTATTTCACCGATAAATGATACAAATAAATATAAGAATCTTATTTTAAACGAAAAAATGCTAGTTTAACGTCTTTTGCTAATTTAGCCAACCATTTTGGGGGAAAACACACCACATCACCTGCAGACAACCTGTCCTTATTGCTGTTATTGTTTTGTTTGGTTGCTGCTACAGCATAAAAATATCCTCTGCTGAAGCACTTAGAGTAGAGAAGCGGCGCAGCGCCCAATTAGAGAACCACTACACAAGAACCAACTCCACTGTGCGCTGTGCTCATCTCATCATCTCAAGCAGATTCTTTAGCGGTTTTGCGTTGCTTTGCGTATTTACTAAAATTACGATTCATAATTGTTTTTACTTGAACTCACGCCCGGGTTATTCGAGTGCGTTCTGCACCAAAGTGGCAGGCAGACACTTTGTGTTATTTAAATGTGCACACATCTGTGCATTTGGATATTCACAAGTACAATTGTACGTATGTATATGTGTGTGTATATGTATATGTCTTTATTTTTATTTATAATTGTGGGTTGTTTTGTGCGGTCGGGTGTACTTTCTTTAACAAACTTCACTTTAAAGTGGAGTGTGTTTTTATTGTACGCCTCTATAATATGCTATATACATACATACATACAAACACATTTGTACATGTCGTCTCTATACGAGTATATGGGCGCTGTTTAACGAAAGTGCCTGTGGACTTGTTTGTGTTTATGAATCTACTGCAGTTTTGTATGTATGTGCATATGTATGTATGTATGTAAATAAATTTGGTCAGCTAAAAAGCGACTTTTAAAGATGATATTAATATTATACTTGCGTATGCATGTAATTATGTATTTGTAAGTATGCTTTATGATTTCTAAAATTAACGTAATTATTCAAAACTTAATGAAATTGTCTGAGTAATTGTAATTTATGTACTTAAATACTTACATACATACACTTAAATGTGTCCGCAAAAGCTATTATTGGAATGAAGAGTGTCGAATTTTGGTGTTTGCGTCGCCGAGTTGAAAGGTGGAACTATGAGAAATTTCAAGTCAGCTGCATGTTGAATGTTGCAGACGGTTATCTCTGTTTCGTGTTTCTCGTATGTTTGCTAGTATTGAAATCATCCTCTGGCAGAATTGTTCCCTGAAGCTATTCATGTTATAAGGTCGAAAAATTGTTATTGGGTCTATAACTATATTCGAATAATATAGGAATGCAATTTTCGATATCCCGTTCTGATGTGAACCGTATTCCAGCGAGAGCGTTCTGCATCGACTAAAACAAATTAACTTATTACTTACCGATCCATACAGGTTTCGATCTTCAAAATAACAGTCCTTGGCCTGATCTGTTGTGGGAATTGTAATAATCACTAATCACCTCTTTGCAGGCTCAATGAAACCAACTTACTTAACTCCCCTCTCTCTACGGTCCGCACTCGTCGAAACAGCTTGTTTCCTGAGCCTACCGTAGTGATTTCGATGACAGTTAACGTTTTTTTCCCCAAATAAGGCCTGTATAATATTTAAACAACAATAACAACAATAACAACCAAAACAAATGACAGTTACAAGGGGCAAGGTCTGGGCTAATAGGCGGATGAGGCAAAACTTCACAGCACAGTTTTCCAAATACTTTTTAAACGGTCTTGTAACATGAGGCCGTGCATTGTCATCATGAAAAATTATTGCCTTGTAACTAGTCGCGAATTTCGAGTGTTTTTCGACAATTGCTAATTTTTATGCCATTTAAAAGTCGGTTTGAGTTCTATGGTTCTCTTAAGTTCTAGGCAGTTATTTGCACAGTTAAACAGTCGATCCTATGGCTCGGTTATAGAGACTATATGGCATTTTGAGAGCGTGTGGTGTTTGTAGCGGCAGAAAATATTCCTGAGGTAATTTCGTGGGATAGTGCCGAGTTGATAGTCCTCGGCCGGATAAAAGTTCGTTCCGGTTACTTAGACCCGACTGTCGTGGGAACGTGGCAACGTGGGATGCTGTTGTTGTAGCAGTGGGTACTATTTTAGAGAATAGTACCGATTTGAGAGACCCTGTCTGGTGGAATTAGTGATTAAATATGCTTTCTTGCTGCAGAAACCGGATATAACCTTAAGTCCTTATAATTGATTAGACCAGGACACAACTGCAGGAATGTATTTTTATACATATATATATAGTATATTAAGTTCGCCACGAGTTTTGTAGCACCCAGACCCTATAAACTATATACATATGTATATGTACAATATTCAGCGTGACGAGCTGAGCCGATTTAGCCATTTTCGTCTGGCTTTCTGTATAACCTCGAACTAGTCCCTTAGTTTTTGAAGTCTTTGTATGAACAACTATTTTATTTGACAAGATATATTTACAAAATTTGGCATAGATTATTCGTCAAGGCAGAGCTACAATCTCCGAAGAAGCAGATCGGAACATTATAGCATATAGCCGCCATACAAACTGAACGATCAAAATCAAGTTCTTGTTAGGAAGGTTTGGTATGGAAGCTTGTGTGTGGTATTATAATTGCGGCGCAACCGTTTTTTTTCCTTTGAAATTTAAACGTCAATAAGTACCGTTATTACACGCTTGTCATTCACAAAGGTGTGGAAATTATGACAAATAAATTGAAGATTTTTGTAACACTCGATTTCCTTAGAAATCTATTAGTGATAGCATACAAATGCGAGCGTGTATGTGTATGTAATTTTAATAAATTGACGACTTCATTGATTAAATGAGCCAGTTAAACGCGAATGTCCGTCCAATTGTGCTGTGCGCGCAACAGTAGTCAATATTTCTCTAACAATTCGTGGAAAAAAAGCATAATAATTGCTCGGATGAATGTGATGACATATTTGTGTGTAGATATATGTATATATTAATAAATATGTATGTACCATATGTACATATATATGTATGTATGTATATAATTATGTGTGTATATATATACATATATACTGATAGTATCTCTGGCAATAGTGATCGTTCCAATATAGCTCAAACATACAAACATACATACATACATATGTACATATACTCTAGCACATATTCGATGTCGCTGAAACAGAAACTCTTCATTGTTGCCATAATTACAAGCAATTAAACTTCATCAAATTTTTGATACGGGTGCGGCGGTGCACGCGCTGCTGCTGAGCCGTTCGATTGCCGCCAGTTCGAATAACGCCAATTGCCGGCAATAGTATAGTCATATGTAGATGTGTGCGCGTGTGCATGTGTGTTTGGGTATATGCATTGTGGGTCGCCTGCTGCTCACTTTTGCTTTATTGTGGGCTCCCGACACAAACGCACCACACACACACA